GTGTCAAAGGATCCTATCTTATATATATATATATATATATATATATATATATATATGGGCTTATCATTTCTCAAGCTGCTTGAGATAATTTTATCCCCATCTACTAAATCATAATCGTACAAAGATGGATCAATGGTGATAAAGGAAGAGAGAAAAAAAAGGAATCATAACCATTCAAAAGTGAATCAATTAATATAAGAAAATAAATAAACAAAACAATGTAGTTTTGGGGTGACCGGAGATAAACTTATCTCAAGTTGCCGGAGAAATATTTTTCCTTATATATATACATACATGTGTATATATATATATATATATATATATATATATATATATATTTATATAGGGCTTATCATTTCTCAAGCTACTTGAGACAATGTTATCTCCGGCTACTAAATCATAACCGTACAAAGATGGATCAATGGTGATAAAGAAAGAGAGAGAAAAAGGAAATCATAACCATTCAAAGGTGAATCAATTAATATAAGAAAGTAAATAAACAAAACGACGTAGTTTTGGAGTAGCCGGAGATAACATTGTCTCTAACAACTTGAGAAATGTTTTTCCCATATATATATATATATGTATATATGGGTTTGATTGCTCTCCTGCGACAGAAAGGACCATTTCTCTCCAACACAAAGAAAAAAACGGTGGAGCTCACCTAAATATAAAAACAAAAAGAATCAAAAAGGATGCACGGTTTTTTATGGTGAGAGCAGGAGACAAATTAAATTTACTAAAACTACAGACTCGATTTATATATATATATATATATATATATATATATATATATATATATATATATATATATATAGGGTCAGGATCATTTTACACCAGTGTAAGTTACACTTTCAATCTTGACCATTGATCCCACTTATATCCAAGGGCTCTAATTTTTTAGTAATTTGAGCCATTGAATACAAGTGGATCAATGATCAAGATTGAGTGTAAGACTTCTAACTCTTACACTGATGTAAGAATATCCTGCTCTATATATATATATATATATATATATATATATATATATATATATATATATTTCCAAAGATAAGAGACACAAAAAGTAAAGATTTAACTTAAGGTAGATGCATCAAGAATGATAATAAAAACTTTTATTAAGAGATGAATAAAGGCAAAAGAACTATCTTAGCAAGCTTTTAAACAACACTTATAATGATTTGAATAGAAGTGTAGTGCATAGAATTCGAGTGCATGGAGTTAAGGAGACATTAAAGAAGATGAGAACTAATAAAGCTTTGGGATCAATGGTGTCCAAAGTGTGGAGATGCGTAAAGGATATGGCGATAAGTTGGTTGACAAATTTTTTTAATAACCCGATAAAAGGAGGAAGAGTATGCTTGTGCTTATCTACAAAAACAAGAAAGATATCAAAAATTATTCTAACTACGGAGACATTAAGCTTATGAGTCATACCATGAATTTGTCGAAAAGTGACATTGACCATCATTTGAAAATAGAGACCAAGATCTTTGTAAAATCAATTTGTATTTAAATCATAAAGATTTACCGTGGAGGCTATTTTTTTTATATGATAGTTGATGAAAAGATATTGAAAAAGAAAGAAGGACTTACATATGGTGTTAATTGATCTTAATAAGGCATGTGATAGGGTTTCAAGAAAGGTTCTATAGTGTAAGCTGTAACGCTCGGCCGCTTGCAAGATTATTGATTGTCCCCACAAACTAACACGAGATTTTTCAGCGTGATCTGTCCTCACTCACACACTTCCTGGAAAAACTTCCCATGAGGTCACCCATTTCAAAATTGCTTCAAGTTAAGGACGCTTAACTATGAAGTTCTTCCGTTCCAAGCTATCGAAAAGTAGATGCATCTTGTTCCGATGGATAAAAAGATAACAGAGCAAACCCCCAACGATAGCTTAGTTGGCAACTGAGCTCCCAAGGGTTTGCTTGAGTCAGGGGTTCAAACCCTTCTTTAAGTAAAATCTTTGGGGGCAGAGGACATGCCTCTCTCCTTGAATGAGAGATTAGTCTCGTCATTCTTTCGGTGGTGAAGCTCAATGCACCCGCTGTTCCAATGAGGGTGTAGCTTTCAGGACCGTACTCCGAGGACAAGGAGACCGGAAGAGGTTGAATAGGGATACCTCCAGGTTATCCAAAAAAGAAGAAGAAATGATATGGTTTAGGTATATCATTCAGATGCTTCCGTAAGAACACAAGTCTGTTACCAAGAACATGACATAAAAAGAGGAAAAGGTAGTTTGAAACACCGTAGGGAAAAAGTAGTAAAACAAGATTTAATGAAGTCAAAAACAGATTAAGATATAGTTTGTCTTTAGATGGAATGGATGGAAGTTATTAGCATAAGGAAGGAGTAGACTTATTTCCTAATATTACGGACATACCCTTTCAATCATTTTCCCTATATTTAATTATTTTGAATATATTTATTTGTTTATGTATTATTTATTTTTCTCTTATTTATTTATTTTTCATCAATTTTTTTCTTAATCTTTGCTTTGGTTTATTGATCGTTAACATCAAGTAATTTAGAATAAAGGTAATATTGAATATTAATTTACAATAATTCTGTTTGTAATAGATCAAAGTATATTAAAAATATTCCGTATCCATATGTGTAAATTGAATATTCGTATAATGTTCCTTAGCATCAGTTTAGCGCAATAAATTACGAGATTCGTTGTGAAGAGCATGAGGCTTTGATTCTCCTAGCCCACTCCTCCCTTCCCCATTTCCTGACCTCATTAAGAGGCCTTAGGTCCTATTAAGTGGTCCCTTTGCCCCACATCACTATGGTCAAGATTTAGTTCCAGTTCGGATGAGATTTTTTTTTTTAAAAGAAAATAGGAAAAAAAATACACTTATACTATAAAGTTTTTTTATGTCTGTTTAAAAAAAAAACAGAAATTACAAAAAAATAAGCCAAAAATCTATTTTTTTGGAAGCTAAATTTATTTTAGTAAAAGTTAAAAAACTTAGTTTCTAAAAAAAGCAGATGTTAAAAAGTCAAATATTTTGTTTCAAAAACTAAATATTTTTCTTAAAATCTAAAAAGCTTTAGGTTTTGTAAAAAATACTTCTAAAATAAATAAGACATAAAATCATTTTTTTCAGTATTTAAGAACTTGGCCCGGCTATCGACTCGGCCGAGGTCAGGAATCACGGGGTCAAAGGTTCAACCGGGGAGTCATGAGGTCACTTCACTGATCCGATTTTATACATTAAAAAAATATAAATATATATCCTAAATGAAAAATTCAAAAAAATAAAGTCACTAATCATCAAAGATTCAAATATACTTATCATGATTCAACCAATTACATCAACAAGTCAATATTATACAAGCTGATCAAAGTATCAAACTATCAAAGTATAAAACACATATTTCAATGGAGTTAATGAAAAGTTATATCATCAAAACTCAGACTTTATTTGTCCTTCTCACCACCTACAATAGCATGTGAAAGGAGATCCCATACCCAAGAGAGAGAACAACAGAGGAGAGGCAGCAGCGTGACGTATCAACAGTGGGGAGAGAATAACCAACATAACGAAGGAGAAAGAGAGAGAAGACCGAAGATGATAGGAGGAACCATCACCACGGCATAAGAGATCACCGGATCAGGAAAACCGGGTCTCAGTCTGGGAGAAAAGATCGAAAGAAAAAAAGATGAACGATTCATATTTCAGATCTAGTTCTAGATCTAGGCAGCAACAAGTTTTTATTTTTATTTTTTACACACCAAACAATGTTCTTTCGTGTGTATTTTTTTTTTTTTAAATGTAGTGATTCCCTCTAACCCCTCTAGCTTAGTCAACTAGAAAATTTCGGGGGTTAAAGGAGTCAACGTACTTGCAGGGTCTAACTGCTAACCCCAACCCTCAGAGATAGGGGGTTAGTGACCCTGCGGGGTCAACCCCGAAGTGAAGCGGAGTTTTAAAACATTGATTTTTTTACGTGCTAATCCATATTATTTATTTTTTGTCTTTATTTTTTTTTAATGGATCCCATTTTTATAAATCCATCTTTTTATATTTATAAAATAACACAATTTGTATAATTTAAAATGAAACACATTTTTTCGATATTCATTTGTTTCCATTTGGTGCGTCTTTTATGCAAGTCATTGTCTTTTATGATCATCCCATACTCCACATATGCGGTTTACTATTGGCATCAATCAATGTGACCTTTATTCGGCGTATGAAACATTCTATATTATTAAATATCATGGAGGTTGACGAAGAAGGGTCACTTCCAAGTATATAAAATTTGATTCAGGATGAATATCTTCAACATTCTTTTTGATGGATGACAATTTTCAATATCATCTGCAGATATGATAATTTTAAAAGCAGATCGACCTGAACAAAAACTTTTCGTATTCTGTTGAAGTTATTTTCAAATTTGTATCATGTTTATGTTAATAAAAATTAGGACATTAATAATCTCATGTTGTATGAAAGTAATTATCTCCTATCATAAACACAATCATGAGTAGGACTCACTTATAAAAAATTAAAAATTAAAAATTAAAAATTAAACTACATAAAAAACAATGAATATGTAAGAAAGAGATATTATCTTATATAACATAAGAATAATATTTCCCTAAAAATTAACACAACAAAATTCATATCATATTTTTTTGTCAATCCGCAAACACAAAATTAACACTTTTAATTTTTTTATAGGTTACTATCATGACAATTCAACATTGGTAAAAATAACATCCAATCTAAAAGTTATTCATATATTATTCTTTCATATTAATTTGTATAATAAGTAACACATTTTAAAATTAATAAGTTATTTCTAATGTATCATTTCAACACACAAAATAAATAGGTCATAATCATGTCTAAGGTTTTGATCCGTTTTCAAATTCATATTATGTTAAATTGAGTGTATTTATATTCATATTAAATTTATATCGTGTCGTGTCAACCCCAATTGCCCCGTAATAAAAGGTGTAGCCATGGCATCAAAGCTAATAGCAATTGTTTTAAGTCAACTAAATAAGGAAATATAACATAGAACATATAATCCGAGATATCATAAGTTTAAACATCAGAAAGCAAATTTGTGTTATTTTGCTTAGATAAAATAAGCAAGAGAATCAGCATGGTTAAACAGCAGTCCCTTTTGCTGCAAAACAAACCACCATTGTCCTAAGGCATCATCATACCATGGTCTTATGCTCAGGTCTGTGAGTGAACTCAAAATCTATGTGCACAAAAGCCCTCTCAACTTCTGGAAGTTGCTCCAGCTTCTCTTGGAGTGTCTCACCAATATTGTGTGCTTGGTTGAGAAGCATGTCTTCAGGTAAGACAATATCAACTTCCACAAAGTAACATGCACCAAAGGTGTATGCTCTAACAGTATCTATGTGCTTAATCTGTTCATGGTGATTCCAGATAAGGTAAGTTAACTTTGCCAGAAAATCAGGTGGTGCTGTCCTTCCAATGAGTGACCAAACATTCTCAATAACAGTCTTCGCCCATGTGTTAATTGTATACAATGCTATCTGCATTACACATTCAGATATCATCATTAGTATATTATATTGGCTTGAAGTAACAAGTAAACAGTCATGTAACACAAAAACCTCCCTCCAAGATTTTGAAGTGGTACATACAAGGAGTTTGTGGCCATTGTAGAATTATGGGAAAATCAATGAAAATAATACTTGTTGAACATGTGAACCAGATCAGAAAATCATAGTAAAAGCACAGTGAAATGAGAAGAAAATAAGCTGTGGTTATGAACTCACAATAATAGCTCCTGTTGGATCAAGCCACCAGAAGAACTTGACAGCTAGAACAGCAGCAGCTAATCCAACTGAATTAGTGACGACATCAAAAAAATGATCTTGTGCATAAGCTCTGACAATTTCGTTTTTAAATCTTCGACAGTAGACCATAAGAATGAACTTCACTACAGTCACAAACACCATAATACCAATCATCCAATTCACCTTTACTGGATCCATTTCAGGCTTAGACTGTAAGAAAAAGAATGATATGAGAAATGAAAATGAGTCATGGTAATAAATAAAACCACTCTCCATTAAATCCCAACTAGCGAGGGCAATCCTTACATTAAGCCTTACCCTTGCGTATTTGCAAAGAGACTGTTTACCGGATTCAAACCCATGACCTTTCAATCACAAAAGAATAGCTTTACCAATGCTACAGGCTCACCCTCATATGTAATGGTAATAAATAGTAACAGGAAAATCTAAAACAAAGCTAACACTGCTACAACTCACACAATTGACTAAATTCAAATTCAAAAACAAAAATAAGTGCTGCACCCAAATTTGAGGATCTAGTGAACAAATAAGAACAACAAAAGTTGATGTCAATTACCTTATAAACAAGTTGCCGACCAGACTCAATCAAAATCTGCAACCCCAAGGTAGCCATCACAGACGCAAAAACAATGATACCCTGCATAGAAAGTTTGATCAGCAAGTATCTTTATTAACTATTAAGTAACCATGCAATGGTTATTTTGAATGCATCTTAATAACCAATTACTTTCATTTTCACTCTCAGGACATTATGAAACTATATTGATAGATAGCATTTACTTAAACTTTGTAGGACTCAATCATTTACATTTTAAATTTAAGTCTTACCACTGGTTGCATGCGCTTCTTTCCAATTGGATAGTGATATTGGTTTGGTTTTCTCATGGCATGAGCAGTAAACCACAATATGAACCCTGATAATAGATCCAAGAGAGAATCCATAGTTGAGGCAATGACTGCTAATGATCTGCTCTCAATTGACGCAAAAACCTTTGCAGCAAATAGCACCAAGTTACATGCATTTGACACATAAACTGCCATCCTCTCACTCTTTGCTAGTTGCTTCATTTCATCCTGAGAAACATAATGCATGTTGATTTAGTAGAATTATCCTTATGGATTTAAATAAATCATTTATTTGCATGCGTTTGAGATTATCGAATGTGATTTGAAATTTATAGTCAAAACTGGTTAGTGCTGCTCCTTCTATGACAAATTATAAGTGAATCATAGTGATAGAATAATCAACCTCAGTGAGACTTCCTGGGAAAAAACCCGTTTCAGTCATAGCCTCCATCTCATTAAATCCTTCAAGGAGTCTCTCCTGTTTCTTGTAATATTCTGCCACCTTGCGCTGCTTCCCTATTTAACACAAGTTATGAATATACATAAAAATACACACCAAACAAGTAGGCAAAGCCACATGCCAGAACATAACCAAAAACTGCCTAAGAAAATAAACCAAACCACCTTAAGAAGCTTGATTAAGAAAGCCACGCATGACACATGTAAGAAATAAAACATGTTAAAGATGAACTGAAGTCTTTGGTACCACACAACAGAAACGGGAACTAGTTCAGAAGCTAAACTGAAGCACTATCACACGTGTGCAATTAAACTGAAACATGTTGAAGACTTATTTTGATGCTAGATTCTTTATCTAAGCTTATTTTTTCAGCATTCCTAAAGTTAAATAGTAACCAGCAATATCAAAAAAATTCAAATCAACAACCTCTTAAAAGTTAAATATTTTAAAACTTAAACATTATGTGAATAAGTAATTGTACATACTTGTTGACAATCTATTTTATCGTTTAATTAAAGATAACAAAAGGTATAAAAGACTGATCTTAAAAGAAAATAGGATCCAGTTTCGTTTCATATGAAAAGAAATTTAGGGGAGAAAGATTCATGAGTAATTAAAGCTTTGATTATATATGAAATCAAGTACAAGAGATTCTAAGAAGAAAGGCATTATATATGGTATGAGTAATGGAGTATCTTCAGAAATAGTAATTTATATTAAAAAAATAGGAAAACGCATTATTATATCAATATCAATCCTAATCTACTTTTGATTGAACAAAACGAATTATACCAAACTTAACCAGATTTTAGCACCAACATGGTGCACATTCACAATAAAGGCTCTTCCTTTATGCAAAGGTTCCCGACACAGCTACAATAAACAGCAAACAAAGACTAATAGCACCACTGCTCTGACTTCGGTTTGCACAATTCAACCCATCACCACGCAGAACAAAACATACCCATCACACAAAACAGAGACTTTAAAGTTTAAGCATTCAAGGGAAGAAAAAAGTTGAAAAGGACGAAGAATGACTCACTGGCTTTGCAGAATTCACTACATACATAACCTCAGAGAACAAAACAGACCCACTACACAAAATAGAGACTTTAAACATTAAAGAGAATAAGAAGTGGAGAAGGGTGAATAATAGATAACTGGGTTTGCACAAATCAACACACCCCATTACACAAAATAGAAACTTTAAACATTCAAGGGAAGAAAAAGTGGAAAAGCATGAAAAATAAAAGGCTTAATGCTAAATGCTAAACAAGCCCATTACACAAAATAGAAACTTTAGACATTCAAGGGAAGAAAAAGTGAAAAAGGAAGACGAATGGTTCACTGGATCTCTGCATAATTCAACACATCACAACAAAAAAACAAAACATGCCCATTACACAGGACATAAACTTTAGACATTCAAGAGAAGAAAAAAAGGAAAAGGGTGAAGAATGGCTCACTGGGCTTGCGGAGAAGGCGATGGAAATTGAAGAAACGATTATGTTGATTTTCATTACTTCGGCTTGGAAGATGAAACTCCTTCACGTTGAGTCTCCATGAAGAATTTGCAGCCTCTTCCTCCGGCGACACCAGAAGTGGTTCCCTCCTGACATGTATGCCGCCAATGTCTGCCATCGATAATTTTTCTGAATAAACTAAGGTTTTGTTTCTGTTTTGTTTTGTTTTTTTTGTTTTGTTTTGAATTGATGCAAGTGTTAACTACCTTCCTAGTTACATGGAAGAGACGCGGAAGGAGAGAAAAAGTGCAGTGTGTCACACGTGGCGATAGACTACGTTTTTGTGACCAGAAGCACTAGAACTAGGTGAACCACAATCGTATGTATTTCTTGTTTGGGATGGCCCACAAGGTTTACAATTTAGAAAAATTTATAAATTTTAATTGAGAGAAAATATTTTTCCAGAGATAAGATAAAATTATCTGTATTGATTCAAAATGACATTATTTTAAGGTTATAAGATTAAAAAATATAATAATAAAGATTAATATATAATATATTAGAATTACAAAAATATCTTAATTTTCATCTTAAAACAACATTATTTTGAGTTCATCAAAAATAACTTATCTTGATATTTGATATAATTAAACTAATTAAATAATGTAGTAACATATTATTGAATATTGAGTGTAATTAAAGTTCTTCAAAATTGGATTTTTTGTGAAGGATATACTTTCCACCAAAAAAGTTTATCACATTTACAACTAACTTAATAATCGTTGATTTCCGTCAATCTAACGGTAATAATTTATTGAAAATTATTTGGTCGCATTTATTAATTAATTATTAATTTCAAATAAATTCAATAAATTATAACCGTTAAATTAACAGAAATCAACGGTGATTAAGTTGGTTGTAAAGGTGATAAACTTTTTTGGTGGTAAGTATATTTTGTCATTTTTTATATATAAAAAAAGATGGCATCTTATCATTTATAATTATTGGTACAACCTTATGTGATATCGCAATTAATGTTCAATTAATTAATAAATGTCTATGTAGCATCGATACCGACACGGGGAATGGGACACGGGACACGACACGACATTCTGACACGTTAGTTTTAAAAAATGTTAGATTTCGACACGTTAGAACACGTTTTAATATTAAATAATATTTTTGATTTATGTTGCATATATTATATTTAATATTCAATAATTTATCAAAAAAATAAAGTTAAACTTATAATACCCATTAATTTTACAAAGAAACATAAGATATCACAAATATTTATATTAAATTTAATAAAATGGTAATAGTAATCCAACGAATATAATAGTTAGAACTAGAAACGCAACACAAAGTAAATTTTGATTTTTTTTTAAATTTCTACAACGCGCATTAGAGTGTCAGAATGTCAAAGAGTGTCGGGAAGTGTCGAATACGACACATCGAGATTTTTGAAGTGTCAGTGCTTTATAGATAAATGTAGTTCTCCTTATGATTCTATTACTAAAAGATAATCATGTTTCTTATTTAACCTTATAAAAACTATTTATATTTTCTATTAAAACTAAACTTATCTAGTTATCATGTGATACGTTAATTTTTATATTAGGATTTTGAACTATGGATAAACACCATGTGGTAAGAACATGAAGAGGATGTCGGCAATTCCTATGCCCTTACGTGCCGTGTTTATTAAGGAATTCATTGCTGGAAGCAAATTGTTTACCGTCCCTATCCTTTTTATGTTGGATGTCACCATGTCAAATCTTTGTTGCTATATGATAATATTTATGTGCCAATTATACTAATATGGAATATTTTTAACTTTTGGTAGATAGCGCTATGACCCACGAATGCAAAGGCTTTTTGATTCCATACGTGATAGGCTATGATTTTTTCGCTGATAGGAAAGCTCGTTATACATTGAGTTACGAATTTAACACGAATGTGTTTATGATTATTGTATTATAATAATTTCGATTGTAGTATTTATTATGGTTATGATTATAATATCAATGATGATTAGAATAATATTCAAAGTAATCTTTCTACATTCAATCCTATAAATTTATGAAAATTAAATTTGTTAGAGTCTCTGGTTAAATTCAAATTCGAAATAATAAGCTGATGAATATGTAAAATTCTACTATCTAATTAGTACAATCATTATGAAGTTCATAATTACTAACGTTTGTTTGATGGCAAAAAAATTAATTTATTACTTTTTTAATAAAAAATTACGAATAAGTTGTCGTTTTGCAAAAAATTACGAATCTATAGCACCCAAACACGTCCACATGGGGCGTGTTCTGATGGAGAAAGACACGCCCATGTGGGGCGTGAGCTTGTGAAGGAAACACGCCCAAGTTAGGGCGTGTGTGGTCACGCCTAGGATAAGGCGTGTTCAGTGGGTAGACACGCTCAAATATGGGCGTGAGTGACTAAACTGACTGCTATTTAAACACCCACCTCCCTAAACACTCTTCACAATTCTGTCATTGTTATGCTAAGCTATCTGATAGTTTGCACTTGTTTACTCATATTTTGTTTTATCTTTTAAAATTTTGATTTTAAAAATGAGTGCGAATTCTGATACTATTCGTGTTGTTCTATATTTTAACGGTAGGAAAGAAGAAGGTCGTCGTTGTGTTATTTTTGTAGGGGAGAAAAGGCCATCACGTATTAAACGAAACTCAACGGTTGCTGAGCTGCATCAGAAAATACGTCAAAAATTATGTCTTCAAGACAACCAATTAATCACTCTTGTCACGACAAGGTTATGGCAATGTGAACAATACATTAGCTTGCAAGTGGTCGATGACGAAGACATCGATATGGTAATGGAAGAGTTCTTGAACCAGTGTAGAAAGGATTTCTTAGAGTTGTATGTGGATACTACAACCGCGGAGGAAGTTGTCATACCAATGAGGTCAGTTAGGTCTACTTCTCCTCTTAATGCATCATCATCTGCTATTCCTGCTGTTAACATGTCTGAGGAAGATGAACATGACCCTACTTGGGTTATGGATGAGGAGTATGACGAAGATGATGAGGAAAATATTGCAATAGAGGATCGTCTTCTTTTAGAGGATGCGAGTGCATCGGACAATGACGAAGAATGTGGCAGGTCTGGTACTGAACTTCAACCATTGCATGATTTGGGGGAGTCTCGTATTGTTGTACATCATGGAACAACATCGAGTCAAGTACCAGAAAGCAATGGCAATGTTATATGGTGATTGGGAGTAGTCCTATGCATTTTTACCCAACTGGTGTGAATATATGCTTCGTTTTTCACCAGGTTCCTTTTACAATATTCAAACAAAGGATTGTTTTGTTGGGGAGCAGTTGGTTACCGGAAAACGTGTATTTGTTCGTTGTTTCTGGACTTTCAGACAATGTTGCGAGGCATTTAAATTTTGCAAACCAATGATACAAGTTGATGGCACTCATCTATACGGAAAATATAAGGGAAAGTTATTGATTGCCACAGCTCAAGATGGTAATAATGAATGTGTGCCACTTGCATTTGCCGTTGTTGAGGGTGAGACATTGGAGGCTTGGTCATACTTCCTTGCCAATCTTCGTCAGCACGTCACTCAAGCGCATAATATATGTCTAATTTCAGACCGGCGTCATGTAATGTAACAGTTATCTCTCCCTGCGTCATGTGAAATGTAAGTGTCTCCGGTCTCCAACGCTCAACCAAAGCAGAGATCAAGGGGGTATCGATCTGAAGGAAAAACAACAATTATACAAAGTCCACATACGGTAATTTAATTAAGCTATTTAAACATTACATACCTGAACATGACTCATACGTGCCACGTGTATGAACCCAGCCTGTGTCAAATAGTCAGCGACAACGTCTGGTATATCATCGTGATGGGGTCCCCTCTGAAGTTTCCCTCGCCTCGTCTTTAACCCCCTAACCGTATCCTCGTTCCACACAACTTGTGAAACGTGACTGCGCTGTGTCCTCTTACGGAGTACCTCCCACCTATATGGACCAGGAAGTACATGCGTACAAGGATCGGATGGCTCAAGATCACCATCGGATCCAGAGCGCGAGGACTCTGATGAAGACGAATGGGCCATAATAGAATACTACTACAGATGAAAAAGATGTACCCAAATTACTATTGATATTATATTAATTTACACTAAATAAAATTTAATTGCACTTAATTAAATAGCATTTAACTAACTTCAATTGTTATATTAATTTCAATTAAATTAACATCATTGACAATTAATTCATTTAACATTACATTATTCTATCAATATATTTCAATACAAATATTAATTCAAATTCAATTTAAATTAATATTGCATACGTTATTCATTCGTCTTTAACCCTAATTATAATGTGGTTAATTGAAAGGTCAATATGTTTGCAAGTGTCATTCATAAAAAAATATTAATTGTCACAATCTAATTTCTAAGTGTGTAAATAAGTCATAAAACCAACATATACCAATTTAGAAGTAACTAATTAATTTGTAAGTCCATATAATATATAAGTCACATCACAATTCTCTTACATAGGTCACTAATATTTTTCTAACCCCCTAACAATTAAATAAAGTCACAAATATTTTTCTAACCCCCTAACAATTATCTAAGTCGCTAATAACTATCATATATTAATTGTTGTTAATAAAAAAAATAAACAATAAATAGGGACTTACATGAGAGAGAGACAGAGCTTCGCTGCGCAAAACCCTCCAAAAGAAATTTAGAGAGAAGGAGGAGGAGGAGGTTTAGAGAGAGGATGAGAGGGTGGAAATGAGGTAAAAAAGTGAAAAAAGGATTTATATACACCGCGGAGAACACGCCCTATCATGGGCGTGTCTCTCTCCTAGAACACGCCCTACTTTGGCCGTGTCTTGTTCAGAAGCTCACGCCCCACATGGGCGTGTCTCTCTCCTGCCGCACACGCCCTAACTTGGGCGTGTTTCCTTCACAAGCTCACGCCCCACATGGGCGTGTCTTTCTCCATCAGAACATGCCCCATGTGGGCGTGTTTGGGTGCTATAGATTCGTAATTTTTTGCAAAACGATAACTTATTCGTAATTTTTTATTAAAAAAGTAATAAATTAATTTTTTTGCCTTGTAAGTTTTATTTCTAATTAAGACTGATTAATAGTGGTACTTTGGAAAAATAAAATAATATTGTGACTGAATGAGATAATCTCCTTCGAAATAATAGTATAGATAGATGTACGTAAAGTTTTTTTTTTCTTTAGTAGAGAGATGTACGTAAAGTTAAATTCAAAGTATAGTTATCCATTTTATATCACGTATAGCATCTCTTGTAACAGATATAGTGATTTCATCAATTATCAATAATTCGAGATACAATTCCAAACACTAATTGCTTCTTAAGTGTAAAAACAATTCAACCCCTTAAGTTGTTTGTAAATGTTATATTAATAATTTTCTATTAATTTTTTTAACATGTTCCCTCGTATATAAGAGTCTATTAGACTTGAAGGGTAGACAACAATGTTGGCACCAAACAATCACGTGCACAAATAGTAAAAAAAAAGGTAGAAGGAAGAGAGAATGAAGACACAGATTTACCCTTATTTATCCAATATGGTTTACGTCCACTAATATTTAATTATAATTTTCTCACCGCTCTGGTTACAAAACACTCACTCTGCAAGGAGAATATAAATAAGTGTAAAAGCCTTAAGTAACAGTAACTATTTACGAGTTCAAATCCAAACTATTAAAAAAAGAAATAAAAATTAAATAAACCTGAGGCACAACAATACCATGCCTCTGCAGTCTTGGAGGCACCGATAACAAGACCCTGTTGGCATTTTATGCATCCCATTAACAAAAGTCGTTATCTAAATATGAAATATAAGTCATATTCAATAAACATATATGCTAAGAAATTCTATAATATTTAATTATTTATTAATAAAATAAAAGCAATAAAGATAAACTCATAATTATTAATTTAATCATAGAGACTCTAATATTATATAAAAACCAATTCAATTTAAAGGTTTTAGTTATTACGTGAAAGCTACTATAAATTGGGTTTGGACCTTGTGGTTGCGGTATCATATCCCAAGTTCTCTTCTGGTAACTTGGTAAGCATGTGTGGATACATTCGATTTGTATGAGCAATCTGGTCCCCTGCAGAATCTTGGTTTGTCTGCAGTTTCTTTGGTTGTGTTTTCAGTTTGATACATGCCAAGCAAAATCTAAAAAAAAAAAAAAAAAAAAACACACAAGAATCTTTGCATTGATGAATCCCCACTCATCATATATTTTATATATGGTGGAGGATACTAGTTTAAATGACGACAAAATGAATGCGTGTAATCCAACTAGTCTTTATTTCTTTTCTTTTTTAATTTATTTTACGGTTAAGGTAGTGTTCAGAACTTTAGTCTTTTTTATCATTTGCATGTATTTAAACTATCTATTTTTTTTTAATTTAGTCAAACTATATATGACGTTCACAACAAGACCAATATATGGTTCCGACATTCAAAAAAATAAATAAAAATCTTTGTGTTTGGTTCTAGAGAACCGTAGATCTATACCGTCTAATATACGCTCAAAGACATCTTAGAGATAGATATCCTGATTGGCCTATAGCCATTACTTCAATCATTGCGCACAAGCAATAGTCTTATAGCCAATATGTGAGCGTGTGCACAATGTTGACAGTAATAGTAAATAGGTTAAAAGTGTGTAGCTAGGGTAGCCTTTTATTTATAGGGGTTACCTCTTGGGCTTGGACTGTCAAGATCTCCTAGTTGGCGTTGTTAGTATATGGATGTCCTAGAGACAATCTTTTAATTAGATTAGGACATATGTGGACCTTTGTATTGTCGCAAATAAATAAAAGCACTATTTATCTTGTTTCATATTTTGTCTCAATATTACTGTTAATATTTTATATGAGTAACTGGATAAACCCCTTGGAATAAAATAGGTATCTCTTGAGTATCTGTGATGAGATCACGATCATGAGGATTCAAGGAGACTGGATATTTATTCCTAATTTTATGTTCCTAGTCTAGAGACACTGAGAATGGGGATCAGTGATCTCGGGTAAGACTAGCACGACTTATCTACTTGTATTTGGATGCAAGGTAAAGACCTCATGAGCTACAGATATGGAGATGTCTTAGCTAAAGTCGTGGGTGGATCTATAAGGGTATAGCTCGCACTGAACAGACCCACAAAAGAGACTCTATGAGAAAATCTCACAGAGAGTATCATTAGAGTAGTCTCTTTATATTTGGGTATGTCTTTCCTTAGACCAGAAGTTATTACCTAGACTGTGTTCTAGAAGGCATGCTTTGACTGTATACCTTGTCTGCCTGAAACATGGAGACTCATAGGTATACTGTTGGGCTTGTCCTGAAAGAGCACAAGGCTAGGGTGATAAGCTGAAGGAATTCGTCAAATCTCTGTGAGAGATTAGGTTATCTGTAAACCGGAGAAATCGGGATGACATTTACAGGGACTCGGAAATCTATGCATAGTAAAAGAGATCATGAGATGATCTGCCTTTAGAGTCAGTAAATTGAAGATTCCCTATTTCTAATAAAGCTTATCCTAAACCGCAAGGGTTGATACGCTTCCTTACCCTAGGTTTTATGGGAAGGTAACCGAGACGAAAAGAAATACATACGGCAACCAAATATGTGTAATAGGATGATCAAGTCATTAATCTAACTAGCTTTGGGGCAACAAAGCATTGCTAGTGCTCTGTGTTGTCATTAAATGAGTTGTGGGCTTGTTGGGCCCGAGCCCATTTATGTCAGTGGCTATGTTGGACCTAATGGGTCACACACTAACACCTTAATGTCATGATGATATAGCATTAAAGGTATTGGGCCTAACAATGGTTGTTAGCCCAAGATGAAGTTTGGAAGCCCACCTAAGAGGGATAGGGTGCATGGTATTGTTAATGGGCTTGGATGGTCCAAGACATTACTAATTTATTTAATTAGTTAAATTAATTATAAAATATTTAAATTTTGAATTTTGAATTTGAATTTTGAAATTTGAAATTTGAATTTTGAATTTGAAATTTGAATTTTGAATTTTGAAATTTGAAATTTGAATTTTGAATTTTGAATTTGAAATTTGAATTTGAATTTGAATTTGAAATTTGAATTTGAATTTAGAATTTAAATGTTTGAACGTTTGAATTTGAATTTGAATTGGCTATGAAAAGTTGTTTCATAACAAAAGGATAAGATGAGATCTTGTTGGAACAAATCCCTTGTATCAAGAGAAGATCTATGGAGATCTCCAAGGGCTGATTTGGGGCGCCATTTTGGTGGGAGATGATTGTCATCTTGTCAAACCAACAAGCTCCAATCAGATTTGGTTGTTGAGAGAATCAGTGAGCTAGTTGGTTCAAACTTGAATGCAACAGCTCAAATGTATCTGGACCCCTTTTTGGGCTGAATAGGGGCGCATGAATTGGTGGTCATATGATGACCATTGGTTCAGAATTTTGACTAGATAAAGACCTAGTCTTATGAGGATTCAAAGGGGAGGTTGTTGGGATTTTTGAATTGCAACAACTCCACCTTTGTCTCATTCACTTGTGCGCCACTTTCATTATAAGTAAAGTAAAAATTCTGATTTGATACACTAATTCTCTCCCTCTCTTGTGCGCCTAGTTGGTGAGTTCCTCCTTAAGATTTTTCAAAAGAACCTAGCCAATTCTTCTATATACCATTCCCACTTTTGTGAAGTTTTCATGTTGGAGACTTCACTCTTCTAAACACATATACCTAGCCTCCTTCTTCACCTATTGAGCGCATAGCAAGCCTTTCTGTGGTGGACAATTGGTGGCTTTCAAGAAAGCGTTCTTGCATCTTGACGTGGGTGGTGTGGATCAACGTTAGAGGGTTTGAACCCTTCAAACCTAACATTGATCGTCTTGGAGTTTTGAACTCACAAACAAAGGTAACATCACATGCCATAAAGCATGATTCTTGATTGCATGTGTAATTTCGCATATGAAAATTTTTTTTTCCCCTCTCACAAGCTACGGCCTTCAAGGCCATTTTACTTTCAGGTGTAGGATTCAATCTCTAACTTG